GCTTGAGATTGAAGCGGAGTTTTATGTTAGCTATCTTGGCAGTATGTGCATTATGTTCATCTGGTTGTGGTATATCAGCATACAAGATTATCTTTTTTTGAGGGCACAATTATTGGTGATATAAAATACTGCAATTGTTAGGAGCTAGTAGTTAAAGATGCAATGAAAAATGGTTCTCAAATTTAATGGTCAGACTAAAACTCACCTAACACTACTGTTCCTCTCATACTGAAGGTACTATAGATTTGTTGAAACAAAGTAATTTTCACCCTTAAATAACATCCTAATATGGTTTCCAGCTGCATGATTAGTCTATTTCTTGTCCTTTTTTTGGTTAATTTGCTAATTAACAGCTATCTTGGAACTTAATTGTTTGTCTACTAAAATAAGGAGGATTAATGGCTTGCTGGTAGGTTGGCTGACTGACTATTGAGAAACATTAAATTAAAAGTCCTATCTTGGTAGTTTGATAGATTAATTAGGTTAGCAAATTATTTGGGGCCTGTAAGTAACCTCAAGGAAAGATTGCTTCACACATCAAAATTTGTGGGACACTTTGAATTCAGCTAAACAAGTCAAATAATAGAAGTTTTAAACATAACATAGATTTTAATAGTAGGCAAGTATGATAGGTACATCTGAAATCATTTAAGAGTCATCTAACTTTAAGACTTTGACTATTCAAAAAATAATATAGTAAACAAGAAAAATGAAATATATTTTAAAATGTTGCTTAAGCCTTGAGAAACAAAGTTACCTGGTACCTGTGTTGGTGTGAAGTAGTAGGTGCCAGAAGAATAGTCGAGGTGCGTGTAAACTAGCTCGGACAGGACTATCATGAAAACAGATATTCTGAAATGTTACTTGACCTGTTCAACTTGGCTTCCAGTGAGAAAAGCTTCTGGTTTTCTTATTCTTGGACCAGGGCATTTTAGCTGCTAGTCTATTTTGGAGTTCTTTTGTTCGGCTCCGGCCCACCTTGAATATTAGCACTCTTTCTCTAACGTCTACCAAGTTTTTTCTGTTGACAAATGATGTGTCATCAAACATTTGATTTTCCTTCTATTTCTTTTTTTTCAAAAAAAGAATGGTAGGTTTGACTTGGAGATGGGAATATTACCTCATACACATAACTGAATATTGTTGTGAATTTACAGTGTTTGACATTGCTCAATCCATTTGTTTTGAGTGGTTCAACCAACTCTTGGAGGAGATCCTTTTGTAAACTGTAATCTACGGTTGATTTCTAAGATGGGCACTCAACTAATAGTTACTTATTATCTCAAAAAGTCATTTTTATTCTTGATTCTATTTTTTTTAAACAAAGAAACGGACTTTCTAAGATGATAACTATTAGTTGAGTGACCATTTGAAAACTAATCTTCTCTAGCCCCATATACCTAAGGAAAGTCTTACACAATTGCCATGTATGCCTGCCTGTAGCCAATACATTCGTGCTCTTTCTTGTGCACAATAGAATATTTTTGAAACTGTCTAGTGCACAATAGAATTGTGAAAGCTCGTGGCATAGATCCAACTTAACATAGATATTGTACTATTATGGATAGGTGTTGGGACAAAGCTGGCAAATAATGGATACGCGGTGTTTGGAATAGATTATGAAGGTCATGGACGGTCAGCGGGTGCGCGCTGTTACATCAAAAAGTTTGACAACATTGTCAACGACTGCAGCGAGTTTTTCAAGTCAGTTTGCGGTAAGCTACCAAATGCCCTCTTGGTTCACAAGTAGTCCAACCCTCACTGTTATCAGTTAAATGTATATACCACATGACCTCAGAAGTAGTCACAGTGACAAATAATCTATCTTTGATTTTCCTTTTTACTTTCTCTTGGGAATTTTTCGGAGTAGCTTTATTTAAGTTGAATATTTTTCAGCCTGATAGGTATGGTTACAACTTACAATTGTTAAAAAGCTTCACATACTTGTTATCCTCTTACTAAAATGCCCGTTCTCTTTGAAAAAACAGCGCAGGAGGAGTATAGAGAGAAAACACGGTTTCTGTATGGGGAGTCGATGGGAGGGGCCGTGGCTCTTTTAACACACAAGAAGGATCCTTCCTTTTGGCATGGTGCTCTTCTGGTTGCACCGATGTGTAAGGTAGACCAATTAAGATTTTCTGTCTTGACACATTTACTGTAATCGATATGCTTTATTGCTTGCATTTAGTATTGAGGGACTTTTCAAAGTCGGTTATGGTGTTGCTAATTTACATTGCAAAAACCATCAGATATCTGAGAAGGTGAAGCCTCATCCGATGGTTATAAGCTTACTAACTAAAGTGGAGGATGTAATACCAAGATGGAAAATAGTCCCGACAAAGGATGTCATTGATTCGGCCTTCAAGGAACCCGCTAAAAGGGAAGAGGTGTGGCTAATTGTTAAGTTAATATATGCAAACATTTGCTAGCTTCCAAGTATTAATGATGTGCGGTGTCCATTTCTGTCCTCCATCAAAAAAATGAATGTCCATTTATTGTCATTTTGCAAGTATAGGTACGCGGGAACAAGTTAATTTATCAGGCAAAACCAAGACTGAAGACAGCTTTGGAAATGCTGAGAACCAGCATGCACCTTGAGGAAAGTTTGCACGAGGTAACTATTACTTATCCGTCTTCCCTTTAAACAATAATTGAATCATTCCGACAAAATGGAAACTGGAAATGTTGTGTAGTTGAAAACAATAAATTCGTTCTGTTGTTTCGACAGGTCACTCTACCATTTTTAGTGTTACATGGAGAAGCAGACATAGTAACTGATCCAGAAGTAAGTAAGGCTTTATACGAGCAAGCGAGTAGCAAGGACAAGACTATAAAACTCTATCCAGGAATGTGGCACGGTTTGACATATGGTGAGCCAGAAGAAAACATTGAAATCGTCTTTTCAGATATCATCTCGTGGCTTGACAAGCGAAATGGAGAGAGTATTGATGATGATGCTAGTTTAATCGAGAGATCAGTTTGTATAGCTACATCTACTCCTCCATATGAGATGCTCACAATTTCTTCACCTATAACAATGAAAGAAACAAAACCACAGAGAACACGTCCCCAAGCTAATTATCTGTGTGGATGGAAAGGACGTCGGATGCATCATCATTCATCTATGTAGAAACTTGATCGATAGATGTGGCGTGTTGCATCTCCTTCCTTTGTTCATTCGCGATACGGTGTTATTTATGAAGGAAGTGGAAAATAACATGTTTTCCAGATATATTGTAAGATGCAAAATCTCAAGTTATTCATGATATCTTAATGTTTGTGTAAACTTGTTGCTCAATGATGGTTACACTTTTTGTTTTGAGAAAAGATTGTATTAGGATAGATTGTTTACATCACATCCCTTGTAAGCCGTCTATTCTAAGGCAGACATTAGAGATTGTTTGAACGACTTGAACTCCTAACCTATAGGTCAAAGGACACAACTACCTTACTCCAAGTTCCCCTTCCAAAGATGTATCATATAGATGATTCATTGTAATTCATAATTAGATGAAAAAATTGAGTTAAACTATTAAATGAATATTTTAGTTAATAGTAAAATATTTAACCCATAACATATTAAGAAAATATTTGTTTTATCTATTATTGATCTAAAACAATTAGTTCATCAAACAAATAAAATAAACAGGATGTAGTGGGTATTATGATAAGCTAAAATTAGTTATTATGTATCTCTCAATGATGCATATATTTTTATGCAAGGTGGGGCGAGTCGAAGACAAAAGGTTAATTTAATCTTTAGTGGTTGAGAAAATTTTAAGAAATTAATACTCATATTTTAACTCAATTAAGAGAGATATTTTAAAGATTATGGAGTATATAATAATTCAATTAAATCTATCTAGAAGCTGGTGCTCTTTTTGGGCCCTTAATAACTTGAACCCACGACTTCAAATTGGATGAACAGCCTCCAAGGCTCCAAGCAACCCTTTCTATCTATGTTTTTAGGGATCATTCGGTATGATACATTAGAAAAAATAATGTATTTAATTTTGTGTATTACTAATATCTTGTTTGATATATTTTTTTTAACTTATGCACTCTAAATATTATCTTATGTATATCTAATCTATGAAAAAAAATATGATATTAGCAATTCAAGGGGTTCTAATGCAAAGCATTAACATGAATAAAGACACAATTGTCGCTAAACTCGACGTGAATTATTAGTTTCACCTTTGAACTATTGACAGTCTTAAAAACACCTTTTTACTTGACTAACTGAATTTAATTACACCCCGTTCTTGCAACATGAGTCAAATACTCCCCTAAAATTTTGCCTACTTTAGAGGTGTTTTCAATACTTCTAAAGTATTGAAGGGGGTTCTAATGCAAGCATTAACATGAATAAAAACACAATTGCCCTTAAACTCGACGTGAATTATTAGTTTCACCTCTGAACTATTGAAAGCCTTAAAAACACTCCTTTACTTGACTAACTTAACTTAACTACACCCCGTTCTCCCCGTTCTTGCAACATGAGTGAAATACACTTCTAATATTTTGCCTACTTTAGAGGTATTTTCAGTACATATCACGGCTTTTTATTAAGAGTCACAAACTCCTACAAGAGTTTGAGACCACTTGCTATGCCATATAGTAGATCGAGGGCGTATCGGGGATGTATATAAGTTTAGTTAGTCAACTTGAGGGGTATTTTTAAGGGTATTAATAGTTCTGGGACGAGTTATTCTCAATACTTCTCTCTTTCCAATATATTTAAGGAGGGTATTTTTGTAAATAATTACTATTTATTTTTGAAATATACAATGCATTTTATTTTTAAAATACCAAATCAAACGATATATCTCAACATAACTAAAGTTAACATTATTAATATACCTTATTCAACACTATTTTTATACATCCTACGAAACGACCCCTTAAAATATTGTTGTTGTGTGTAAATTTCTTGGAGGATTTTGGGCTGCAATCGGTTTGTATAACTGGCCCAAGCCCATAGTCTCGCTTGAACTAGAGCCGAACGTAAATCTTTTTCTTCTTTGCACTGTTTTCCCTCTACCCTCTTTAAACCCTAGCTCTTTTGCCCCTTTTTTGTTGCTCTTCAATTTCTTCTGCTTGATCGAAGATGAGGTAATTGTTTACTGCTATTTTACACTTTGCGTTTGTTCATTTGAAGTTCTCCATATCCTCTGCTTGTTTTTTTCTTGTCATTGCAGTAACCCATTTAGTAGATTATGTAAGGTTAGACTACATTTCTTCAAAGAAGTAGATAATTTGCCTAGGTAAAGTAAGGTTTTGGACGAGGAGATAAGAAATTGAAGAATTATAGCTGTCTTCTGGACTAATTTTGTGTAGGTTTTTTTTTGGGTGTTACGTACTTTTGGATGTAAAGATTGTAAATTTACTAGTATTGAAATGGAAGTATGAATTAGAGTGAGTAGATTCATATAGCTGACCCCAATTAGCTTGGCGCTAAGGTGTGAGTTCTGTGTGCAGTTCAAAAACTATGTTAATGGGGTTTTCTGTAGCTAAACCATTGCCTTGGCAGATGGGTAAGTTGGAATTTCGACTATTCACTTTCTCCACTAGGCTTTTATTACTACTCGTGTTAGTTCCTTTTGTTCACTCTCCACTTTAGCCAAGCTTAAAACCTATGTTAGCCCAGGCACATCAGTGATAGAAAACCCTTCTTTTGGCTAGAATATAATGCCAACTAGGCTGTAGGATGTAAAAATACAACAACAACAACATATCCAGTGAAAAACCATAAAGTGGGGTCTGTAGGATATACAAATAGTTGATGTGTTTATCTATTCCTGCTGATTTTTGTGTTACTCAAATATTAACAGTTGGAGGTTCCTAATAGTTTTCCTTTTCCTCTTTCTTTTTTTTTTTTGCTCTTTTGCAGTCGACCAATGGAAGAAGATGCCCCTGTAAGTCAGCTTACTTTGCAAGTGTTTCACCTATACACAGCTCTCATCATTTATTTTTCTCATTTTTTCCTTGGCTTAAGTCCGTATGGTGAACTATTTTGTGTTTTAGGGACTGTCTACTTCTTAGTACTTGTTTTCATTTTCCTTTTATTCACCTTAATGCCATGTATTTGATTAGATTTCCTTTTTTTTTGTAGCCATCGTCCTTGATTACACATTACAGCTGATAATTTTCTAGCCATACATCTTTAATTTTATCATATGGAGAATATGTTTATACCTCCCGTTTCAAAGCAAACAAGAATATATTTGATCTGTAGAATCTTTTTCAGCACATAACATTTTCAAGTCTTTGGTTAAGTCGTTTGAGTTCACCATTCATAAAACAAAAGAAAAAATCAATTAGAACTTCAAAATAACAATGTAGCTAGGATGATCATTTTTGTAAAAACTAGAACTTCTCAAGTATAAAAATTATTAGTTGAATGAGAAGACTTTATTTTCTGCAGTTGTGTTGCTCCCACCTTCATGCAAGTGTTATGACAGTTTTTCATTTTACCACATTGGATAACCTAGAAGCTAGGTCTAAACTTTGTAGTTCTCCCTTAACAGACATCCTATTGACATTTCCTCTTTTATTCGTGGTATGTTCATTCATACACATTATCTTTTTGTTCATTTTCCATATGAGTTGCTTCTTGTTCGCCTTCCCGATGTCAAAAGTGCTTTGCTTCAAAATTCTCCAGATTAAGCACATAGCTAAATAGTGTATAATTGGTAGATTGTCATTATCCAGCTTAAGCACATAGTGAAAAAGTGTATGTCCTTCTATGTTGGTTTGATAGAGGAATGGACCTCATCAGTACCCAGTGAGTATTGATTTGCTTATCAGATTTTATGATAGATGTCTTATTTTTGCCTATGAATCTTTTTTCTAGCAAGGGAAAAATGAGGAAGAGGAATTCAATACTGGCCCACTTTCTGTCCTGATGATGAGTGTTAAGAATAACACACAGGTATCTAATGACTTTAGCACCTACAACTATGTCTTTCTTTGTGTCGGGTTTATTTATTATTTCTAGTTATTAAAAAAAGAGATAAAGTCTGTCCTGGAACCTTTTGTTTATGTTGACAATTTACTTTCTAAAGTCATGCCAGTATACTTCTTCATTTATCTTAGATTTTAATACTGTAGAATTAGATGCAAGCTTCAGTTTTGTATGTGGAACGGTATCAGCTTTGTGCATGTTATCTTACAGATGTCTTTTCTGGATCTAGGTGCTCATCAATTGTAGGAACAACAGGAAACTTCTTGGTCGTGTGAGAGCATTTGATCGTCACTGCAATATGGTCCTTGAAAATGTTAGAGAAATGTGGACTGAGGTTTGTTTGTTCTTGACTTTCTTAATCAACTTTTTGGGACAATGTGTATTGTGTCTTGGATTTGTATCTTGCGCCAAAAGGCTCCAGTTACCAAAATTGGTTATGTTTATTCTTCAGGTTCCTAGGGTAATGTGTCTTGGATTTGAAACTTGTGCCAAAAGACTCCACTTACCAAAGTTGTTTATGGTTATTCTTCAGGTGCCCAAGACTGGAAAAGGAAAAAAGAAAGCTGTTGCTGTTAACAAAGATAGGTTTATCAGCAAAATGTTCCTTCGGGGAGATTCTGTGATCATTGTCCTCCGAAATCCTAAGTAGAGGTACTGTTGGATCTTTGACATAGTGGTTGGAGTAATTTTATTTGAATTAGGAGCTAGTTCCTTTCATCAGTTCATTTTTGAAGTGCAATCACCTTCTAACTTGCTATTATGTAATCAAATGTTTGGTACGAAAAAACTGTAAATGCTAAGTAATATTTTTATTGAATACATTAATGTGAAATTTATCAATATATTTATTATAAATAAAATTTGGAACTTCAAAAATGATTAACTCTTAGCATTTAAATAATTGTCTTTTCTGATGAACTATGAAGATCGATAATAAATGAAAACATAGGAAAAATGTTGTGTGTAATGTTGTATACATATGATAGGAAGCTCAATGGTTGGGACCAGGAAACAACTATAGGATTAAAATCTGCAAGTTCTTTTCTCCAAGTTTAGCTAATGAAGTATCAAGAACTTACCTCGTGCTCAAAAGTCTCCCTTGCTAGAGTAGGGCAGGGGATTAGGAAGAGCATGAACATATACTGTTTTCACTGCTTCTTTTTTATCTCTTCTTGAGCCGAGGATCTATCGGTAAAATCTCTTACCTTACAAGGTAGGGGAAAGGTCTGTGTACACTATACCCTCCCCAAATCCCACTTGTTGGGATTAATACTGGGGTATGTTGTTTTCGGACATATACCATTTTTCTTACTTTTCTGTGAAGAGGCTATTTCTGTTTTGCATACAGAAATGTTCCATTTCCTCTTCCTTTTTTCTACTTGAAATGCATTTATGGGTGGTTATGCACATTCTTGATTTTTTCCTTGGTGTTCCCACATTTTTGTTGGCCTGTATTTAAATATCTGATCATTCGTAGTAATTCAATACACTGGTGTACTGCAGGTGAATTGGATCTGTGCTTTGGAGCAAAACATGTGAGCAGCTAGGATTTGGACCAGCTCTGTATAACCTTTGATTGCTGTAAGACTTGATATAGGATTTTGATGTTCTGCTACATACTGTTATCTTCTTCACGAACTTATTGTAAACGATGGAGCTTAAAGTGCTTTTCGTGTATGTTGAATCCTATGACCAGCTAATATGTACGGTAACTGTTTTGCATAACTCCAGATACATTGTCCATTGTGAAGAGCATTGTGATTGTCTATTTAACTATGTCTAGTTCTGGCACATGCGTTGGCTGGACAAATGCAATAGTCTAGAGTTTGAAATTGTGAGGCACAGAGATATCAAGTGTAGAATTTTACCCTTGCCTGTTATTCTGTGTTTGCGTCATTAAATCTCGGAATCCTTGCACGAAGCGGGTTCATATTGTTTACTTTTTCTAGTTGGTATATATATACATTTGTCAGTTATTTTAGTTTGAACTGATTTGGTATGGCTATTTATTAGGTTAATAATTAATTATTATTCATATGTACTTTTTTTTTTGGTTTACCACCTGGGGTTGAGTAATCATATTGGAGCTCAACTAAATTTGAATTCATGTTGGAAAGTTTTACATTGGGGTAAAACACTCCATAACAAAGGGGACTACTCAGACCTCTACTTCAAAATGTTGGATAATTGCATATATGCCAATTTTCTCATCTTTATTTTGGTAAAGTATTTTTTTTAAAAGAAAAACAAGTTCCTGACTTTCCTGATCAAAGTAGGGGAATTATTTGTGCAAGTGACATTTCACATTGATTGTATTCTCATACTTCAATGCACCTCATCTTCTCTCGACCCTCATCCCTACCATCTTAACCCCTACTTCCCATAATAGTTATCTAAATTATATACAAATATTTTTAGGTAGGGGTGTACAAAATCGAATCAAAAATCAAATCAAACCGCAAATCGAGTCAACCCGAAATAAATCCAACTAGTGGTTTGGTTTGACTTGGTTTGGTTTTGAAAAAAAACACCCGACTATATTTGGGTTGGTTTGGTTTTAACTAAAAAAAACCAACCCGAGACCAAACCAACTCGACATTATATATATAATTTTAAAATTTTATTTTATACATAAAAATATTTACTTTGATATAATTTTTAAATATTTCTTATACTTTTCATAGTTTTTATCTTTTAATATATTATTTCAAGTTTGAAACTTAGAATTATGAATGAGTCAATAAAGATTATAGTCCACAGATTTTGATAATTATAATAAAGCTTAAATCAAAATCAAATTAATACTAATGCAAAAATAAAATCAATTCAACAATAAGAATGACAATAATATTGAATATTTGTTCTTTAATTTTACATTGGTTTAGACAATTAAAATACATAATTTAATTTTAATTTACTTTAATATTTAGTCATGTAACTAATACTTATTAAACTTAATTTTAGCATGATTTAGTACTTTTAAATTATGATCATTTTCATTATGACTTGTTAATTTGCAATATTTGTTTTACGTGATTTCATTATTATTATTTTTGTTGGATATTTTAGTGTCACTAATCATATCATATTGTGTTATATTTTTAAGAAACATCTTAGATAGTTGTATTTTGGTAGGACTAAAGAAATATTTGAAGTACAAGTAAATTATATGTTTGTATGAATACTTTACTGGAAAGCCCGAAAAAATCCGAAAAAAACCCGAGTTTTATTGGTTTGGTTTGGTTTATAAATTTAAAAATCCGACACAAATAGTTTGGTTTGATATTTGAAAAACCTGAACCAACCCGACCATGTACACCCCTATTTTTAGGATAGTATATTTTGCTTACCTATCGAACTTAAGAAAATAATGAAAGATCTACTTATTTTCTAGGATAAGTAACATTTTTTGCTTTGTTAGTCAACATAAGTTAAAGGTTTAGTTTTACTCTTCGGGGTGGCCCAAAGGTTTGGGCTTGAGACTTTCATGTTGGAGGTTTCAAGTTCGAAACTCATTGCCAGCGAAGCAAGGAGTTTGCCTTCTGGGTCGAGCTCATCGCGCCGAGCTTGCCTAGTGTGGGTTACCTCTCCTATGTGGTTTGTGAGTTATTACATAGAAGCGGGGATTTTACCCTGTGCGCATCCAAAATATAGCGGCTGCGGATTTCCTTGTCATAAAAAAAAAAAAAAATATACGATGGAGATATAGGCTACAGAACAGAAGTCCGCGTGGAACAGATAACATACAAGATGGGGGAAAATAAGAACCTGGTTTATTGTTATGATAATAATGAAAGTTGGTCGACTACATCAACTGTTAACAAAAGGATAATAATAGAATTACAAAATTGACAAAGAACCAACTATTAAGACTATTCAAAAGAACTACATGGGAGCTCAGCTCAGTCTTCTGCTGCCTGCGCTTCTGCTTGAAACTACATGAACACAAGAGTCATCTTTTCGTCGCGTGCATTTCACCCCTGACCAAGTTTAACAATATCCAAACATACACACTTTCTCTTCTATTAAGCTGTGGTGATCTTTCCACTATCTTCTTTGTGATCACCGAAAATACGTTGCCTAAAGTCTTGAACCATCATAGGTAGACCATTTCTAAGAGCCACTTTTGGTTCCCAACCAAGTAACTCTTTAGCCTTTGAGATATCAGGTTTCCTCTTGTGTGGGTCATCTTCTGTGTTTGGTTTGTGTACAATCTGTGCATTTGGGTCAATGGTTTCCTGGACCACCTGTGCATCATTAAAAGACGGCGATGTGTCAATAAAATGGTAAAAGTTTCACAGCCTGTTTACACATTGAAATACTTGACATATGTCTGAAGCTCTGCATATGATGAGTTCAGACAATTCTAACTTAAATTAAGACGAAAATGGTTGCCATGTGAAACTTTAGACACCGCATGTATGAAGTTGTTCTGAAGTGGATAGACTTGCAAAATTTTACGTACTGTCTTAATATCTCTTTCTTTATGGACAATTACTAGCAGTTATTATTTATATAACACAATCTCTTCTAAGGGTAATGTCTGTGTACATTCTATCCTATCCTCAGAAATCTGATTTGTAGATTTGACCACGCTGTAAAATGCTAATGCAAAAGAAACACATCTATTTGGATGTTTAGAAGTGTGTCGTTACATACCTTAGCAAGTTCAAGCATTGTGAATTCACCAGGGTTTCCGAGGTTGAAGGGTCCGACATGTTCTCCTTCCATCAACCGCATTAGGCCTTCAACCTTCACAATTAACCAAAATAAAGCAAGTTTAGATTCCTTCTTACGTAACCAATAACCGAACCACCTTAATCTCTACACTAGAAGTTCTGGTTATGCTAACGATGTTTAACAACTTATACTATAACCCTATTTGACAAAAGATCCACAAAAGGAGTACTCTTTTTAACAGTAATTTCAGAACATTGAAAAGTCTTCACATATTTCTTAAACTCCGTGTCCAATCAAATACATCACATAAATTAAGACAGAAGGAGTACATGGAAATAAAAATGCTGGTCCCAGATATCTGGCTTCTACTTTGAACATGGCATGTGCTATCATACTACAATATTTTACTTTGCAACAAAGTAGGGACCCTACTTAAGGTTCAGGATATTAATTTATATATTTTCTAATCAAGTTGTATAATGTAAGCTAGATGGCAAGTCAAATTATTAAAGAATCTTACATTTGAAAGCCACTTCGAAAGAACGGATATAAAACTAATAAGGTAACGTATTAAAATAAGCCAAAAAACAAAGGAAGAACAAAGAGAAAAGTACCAGATCTGAAACAAATTGGAAACTTCTTGTTTGTTTCCCATCACCATAAACTGTCAAAGGCTCTTTCCTTAAAGCCTGTATATAAAAATTTACAATAAGCTTTTTTGTTCTCTTTTGGATGCTTAGTTTAAGAATCCATTAACTTTACGATAGATTTAAATAATCGAGTCACCTGAGCGACAAAGTTGCTGACAACGCGACCATCATCAATACACATACGAGGTCCATAAGTGTTAAAAATCCTAGCAATTCTCACCTGTAACAACGTAGATACATCAACATAATTTTACCAGCAAATTACTTATCAGGTAAGAATGGAGATAAACAGTAGCTAGTAACCTGAGAAAAATGGTAACTAA